AAATTAATTTGGTTAAGAAATAAAAAATAAAAAATAATTATCATTTTTATATAATTTTTATCTTTCGAGTGGTTAGAAATAATTTTTTACAAATTAAATTGAAACAGTCATACGTATGTATATAACCTGCTCAAAAATTAAAATTAAAATTAAAATTATTTTTTACCCTTAAATGATAATTATTTTTTAGTTTTTATTTCTTAACCAAATTAATTTTTAATTTTTAAATTTCTTTTCTAAAAATCAAACCATATATGGCCTAAGAATCTTTTGATAAGTCAATTCTTACGTTGGTAACTTATTTAATTATTTGTTAATTTTACAACATTTTTACCATCTAAAGCCTGTTTGCTAAGGTGCCATTTGGTAACACTTACATTTTCAGTTTTCTGTTTATATTTACAAAAATTAAAAAAACTCAAATAAAAACTTGTTTGGTAAAATTTTTTTTTTCACAAAAGGTATAAGTGACTTCCGACGAAGCTTTAAGTTGGGCTTTCACAAAAGGTGTAAGTTCGAAGACAAAGTATAAATGTTTTGCCAAAAATTCTTACACAAAAGGAGTAACTTTTAAAAAAAAATATAAGCACTTCCACGAAAAGGTGTAAGCTTAAGAAAAAGGTGTAAATTTGATGAATTTTTTTTCCACAAAAGGTATAAGTGACATCCGAAATAGGTTTAAATTGGCCTTTCACAAAAGGTGTAAGTTCGAAGAAAAAGTATAAATCTCATGCCAACAATTCTTACACAAAAGCAGTAACTTTTCAAAAATGGTGTAAATATTTTCACGAAAAGTATGACGGAGTAACATTTCAAAGCGTTGATAACCAGAAAAGGAGTAACAAGGGGTTCATTTCAAAATGTTCGTAAACACATAAGGAGTAACATATGTTCATCTGAAAGTAGTAAACACAGAAGGAGTAACATTTCGAAGTGTTCATAAACCCAATTGAGACAACCACTGAACAAATCAAAGGGTCGTGACCACCGCTGACCACCCAAGCGTCGGTGGGCTCCGGTGCTCACAGCCTTCTGAGATCGGCACCTCCACTGGCACCGCCGCCGCAAATCAAAGGTTTTTTGAAAGATTGGCTATCGATCTTGGTCTCTCTGTGTCGATGTCGATCCCTGTTTATCTCGGTCTGTCTCCAGCGATCTTGGTATGTCGGTGTCCATGTGGGTCTCTTCTCTGTCGATCTCTGTCGATCTCGGTCCCTCTGTCGATCAGTGTCCATGTAGGTCTCTATGTCTGTCGATCTCAGTCTATCTCTCTCTCTCTCTCTCTCTCTCTTTTTTTTTGAAAAGTTACTCCTTTTATGAAACAATTTTTGGCATAAGATTTATACCTTTTCTTCGAACTTACACCGTTTGTGGAAGGCCAACTTAAACCCATTTCGGAAGTCACTTATACCTTTTGGGGAAAAAAAAAATCATTAATTTTGCACCTTTTGATTAAGCTTACACTTTTTACTGAAAATACTTACACCATTTTTGAAAAGTTACTGCTTTTGTGTAAAAAATGTTGGCATGAGATTTATACTTTTTCTTCGAACTTACACCTTTGTGGATGCCCAACTTAAAGCTTTTTCGGAAGTCACTTATACCTTTTGGGGAAAAAAAAAATCATTAATTTTGCACCTTTTGATTAAGCTTACACTTTTTACTGAAAATACTTACACCATTTTTGAAAAGTTACTGCTTTTGTGTAAAAAATGTTGGCATGAGATTTATACTTTTTCTTCGAACTTACACCTTTGTGGATGCCCAACTTAAAGCTTTTTCGGAAGTCACTTATACCTTTTGGGGAAAAAAAAAATCATTAATTTTGCACCTTTTGATTAAGCTTACACTTTTTACTGAAAATACTTACACCATTTTTGAAAAGTTACTGCTTTTGTGTAAAAAATGTTGGCATGAGATTTATACTTTTTCTTCGAACTTACACCTTTGTGGATGCCCAACTTAAAGCTTTTTCGGAAGTCACTTATACCTTTTGGGGAAAAAAAAAATCATTAATTTTGCACCTTTTGATTAAGCTTACACTTTTTACTGAAAATACTTACACCATTTTTGAAAAGTTACTGCTTTTGTGTAAAAAATGTTGGCATGAGATTTATACTTTTTCTTCGAACTTACACCTTTGTGGATGCCCAACTTAAAGCTTTTTCGGAAGTCACTTATACCTTTTGGGGAAAAAAAAAATCATTAATTTTGCACCTTTTGATTAAGCTTACACTTTTTACTGAAAATACTTACACCATTTTTGAAAAGTTACTGCTTTTGTGTAAAAAATGTTGGCATGAGATTTATACTTTTTCTTCGAACTTACACCTTTGTGGATGCCCAACTTAAAGCTTTTTCGCAAGTCACTTATACCTTTTGTGAAAAAAAAAAATCATTAATTTTGCACCTTTTGATTAAGCTTACACTTTTTACTGAAAATACTTACACCATTTTTGAAAAGTTACTGCTTTTGTGTAAAAAATGTTGGCATGAGATTTATACTTTTTCTTCGAACTTACACCTTTGTGGATGCCCAACTTAAAGCTTTTTCGCAAGTCAGTTATACCTTTTGTGGAAAGATAAATTCATCAAATTTACACCTTTTGCATCGGCTTATACCTTTTCGTGGAAGTGCTTATATTTTTTTAGAAAAGTTACTCCTTTTGTGTAAGAATTTTTGGCATGACATTTATACTTTTGTGCTTATATACTCTTTCACAAAAGGTGTAAGTTCGAAGAAAAAGTATAAATCAAAGTGAGTAAGACCGATTCAGCTGAATCCCAGGTCTGCCGGGCATATTGTAACTCATTGCCGGAAGGCTCAGCCCAAGGGCACCGCCAAAGCAATACGGTCTGCGGACAGCGCACACATCCAATCAAAACCACCACCCTTCGTCCAAAGGGCATTGACATAGCATGATGCGGAAGAAGTAGCCGCGAGCTGAATAATGCTAGGCAGGAAGTCCACGAACTTGCAGTTTGTCCATTAACCAATACCGCCGCGGGAGGAATAAAAAAAATGAGGGAGCAGTAAAGAATAGAGAGATGTACTGAGGAAGAAAAGTGAGAATAGGTGTTTTGTGAGAAAAAGACCGAGGCTTTGAGGGACCCGAAGTGCCAGGCGAGCAATGCGTAATGTTGAGTTTGGGTGGGAAAATACCTGCTTCAGTAGTAATGGACTACCCGCCAATCTGGTCGTCTCATTGACGATAAAAAGGCGTCTAAGCCCATTAACGTCTGGCCAGCAGTCCATGGCAATACAGCTCTTGCCCTCCCTTCAAGCGCCATTGGGGCAACCTCAATCAGCCCGGCACTAGCCCCTCCAGAAAGCCTGAGCACGAACAGAAAATGGGACAACATGCACAAGCAAGAGGCGCATGTGCGCCGGAAGCACTTGCCATGATGGTTGTGCGATCATCCAACATCAGAAATCGATTGGCCCAAACTCGAATGTCTAGCATCCCATCACAAATCAGACCGAGCATTCGCGCATGCTGAGCCACACAGTCCGTCCTAGGGACATTGGGGCGTGGCCAAAATAAGTTTGGGTAGGAGCTCCCGTCTGTCGCTCGGCACTCCATTAAGGTCGGAAATCTCCAAGGTAGGGACATCCTCATTGCCCAGCAAAGCTTAAAGAGATGTGTATCGGATTCCAAAACCTTGCCGCAGCATGAAGAAACGGAGTGCAAACGGGGTACGACCCAGACTGAATAGGTGCATTTATGCCAAAACCCCGGAAATTCACTTTTCCGAGCCATTCCAAGCTAGCAATCCAAGTTGTGAGATTTTGAGCCAAAAACCTCCCATTGGACAAACAGGGTGAAAATGAGGAAAAACTACGAAGCTGGGATCTTTTGTAGGAGATAAGCTTAGCTGGTGGGACAAGGTGTCAAACATTCTGGGTGTGGTCCCCGTCACTAAAGTGCCGGCCGGCCAAAAAAATATGCCGACCGGCCAATCTCATTTTGCCGACCAAACAGATTCATGGCCGCGTAGCCATTACTTGCAGCGGTGGTCCCCTACACCAAGCCGGTGGGCTTCCTTTCTATTTTCTTGAGCTGTTGGACTCCACCGCCTCCAAATCCCTCCCCGACCAATCGGTTCTTGCGGAGTCACGCCTGTCTGTTTGTCGAGTTTTGAACATTTGCTTTATCGAGTGCTATTTTTCCTCTTTGAGCTCTTGATTTGTTTATGGAAGTTGTACTCAACACTGTTGGTTGCATCATGTCTTGTTTTGCTTAGTCGAGTGTAATGTCGATTTCACTACCTGATATTACCATGCAAAATTTCCAAAATAAAATTCGTTCACATTGTAGTGTTGATACCCTGCGATTGCGATGCACAGAAAATCCACAAATGCCCAAAGCATCTTTTTAGAACAAAATGGATAGTTTCATCATCACGGTGTTTTGCAAAATGTGTAAACTTTGAAAAAGAATAAACCTACCTGAGCAGTGCAATGTGCTTAAACACCAGTGAAAAAGGAAGTAAAGCATAGAATGGACAAGGTACAAGTATTCAGAAATTGGTACCAATGAAACTCCCCTTGTGGTTAACGCACCTTTCCGCACCTTTGTCCGAGACAACCATGTTGTGGCAACGCTTCACAATAGGGAAAGCACGCCTTTTTGAAACGTTGAACCTTCGAGTTGACCTCAGCCACAACTTCTGCGAGGCAATGCATGCGAAGAATGTCCCGCCTCGTATCCTTTCAGGTTTTG